AACGAGCTCTTCGAGGCCGATGCAATCGATAGACCTGTCAACCCGACATGCCCTCAGAATCCGGAGCAGTGGGTTGATATCCGACCATCGCTCGGAAGCGCATCGTATGGCGTCGACAATTGTCGGCCATCCCGTCTTTGGGGCGTGTCCTTTCTCGCAGCCGTTTACGATACGATCTATCAACTTATTCTCTTTGATAGTCGGAGACGTCGAAGTTGAATTCAGCAGGAGGCGGCATTTTTCTTCGGAATTATATCGACTGGTAAAGGCAGAACCTTGGCTTGGGTCCTCGATGACGAGGATGGCGCGTTCGTAACCTAAATAACAATGAGACGAGGATCTGAACTCAACGGATCAACCCACGTTCAGTAAGTGTTATGCCCTATATGCATTCCACAAAATCAATGACGCTCCTCTCAACACGGTGCCGGTGTACATACCGGGGTATCTCTTTCCCATTCGTGGCTGGTCCGCTCTTGATTGTATTCCAATTCGTCCCGGAGTGCATCGAGATCCAACCCCCTGACACTCATCTTATTGCCGTCCATATCCATCGCAGTTACGTCGACGTCCTCCGCATCGACACCCACTGTGTTCCCCTCATTAAATCGCTCTTCGTTAACACTGATGTCCGTGTCATCAGAGCTTTCAGTCTCGTAAAGCCCAGCTTCGTAGGTGGTCAGAGAGAGAAAGAGGAGATAGACCTCCAGCTGGACTTCTTCAGCAAGCTGCCGGGTATGAAATGCCAGGAGGGCATCGGGTCCTATGAGAGATTGAGGACCCAGCTCGCGGCTGCGGGGGCGCCGAGGGTACGCATTTTGCAGCCAGTATTTGAGATCCTCGCTATCCCTGTGTTCCTTCCAAGCGAGTAATATGGCCTTCAGTCTTGCGCGGGGCCCGTGCATGTCTGGCGAAAACGGCATCCGGGGAACAGCCGGAGTAGGCTCAAGGATATCGTATTCCAGCATAAGTCGATAGCCAGACGTGACAGACGAGAACTGGTAGTCTGTGCAATGCGGCGCAGCGAAGATCCGGGTATTCAGCCCACTTTTATCAGCGACCTCGTATGTCTTCGATTGGACGTCCCATCGGGTTTCCAGTGGACCACCTTCGAACAAAGAAGGAAGGATGATGACTAGGGTCCCGTATACAAGTCCGGCCCGCATTTGGCTGCGAAGGAAGGAAAGATTAAATGCATTCCTTTCTATTAGAGACGACAGACCTGCCCCGATGCATCTGCGATCTGGGATCGGGGTTACAAGTGCGCTCGTTCGAATGAGAGGTCGGGACTCACACATGATTCTGCTCATGGAGAGAGATTCGCGAGAGTTTCAACACCGGGGATACGTCTTTTACGCCCGTCAGGATTCGGCTCGCCGTAAGGCCCGCGCTCTCCTCGAAGGCCGCCCACGCCGGGTTGGCGAAATGAACCTTCAGCGGTACGATCGTAAGTGAGAGACTCAAGGCCAACATGAATTGCGTACCTTATCCGCGAGCACTTCCCAGAGGCCAGAGTTGCGGCCGGAATCTTTGCCAGGAATGACGACAAGGGACCCGACAGAGATTATGCGACGTGCTTCGCGTTCGCTCAATGGGAGGCCAATTTGGCCTATTCCATCGATGCACAGACACGGATTACAAGCCTCACTTATAGCATATTCTTTCATGTACGAAAACTCTCCAGCGAAGCCAAAGTCTTCAAGCGCGATCGCCGCAAACGATTCTGCAAACGCTGACTCGGATGCGAACTGTAGAGTATCAGAGCATACCCGGACAGGAAATGGAAGAATCGAACTTCTGGGGTCATATTCGATTGAGATTTAACGCTCGAATCATCGCCTGAAGCAACATTGTCGACGAGTTCCATTGCATCCTCCAACTTGAACTTGGGGTCGACTGCGTCGGCATCAGTCACTGCCGCAGGACTGTTCGAAGCGCGCTCCTGTTTGATATCCGGTGCTTGATCTTCCTGTTTAACCTCCTGCTTGACCATATCGCTGGCAAATCTCCGCTTTGTACTGGTGGTGGTGGAGGAACAGAAGCGAATGGCGGCCCGGTCGTGATGCGATTCGTGCGAACATGCCGTCAACCAAGAGGTCTTCAGATCTCGGATCGTGCCCGCGATCAACCACACGTGACGACCCTCCCCCCCCGCAAATATTTGGACGGCGCTCCCAACGCTCTCGAGGCGCCCTGAACCTGCTGTGGGTTCCATCCGCGGCTGGATAGACCATTTAGACATGCATTCTGGGTATGGACACCATTCCAATATATTTTGTGGCTCGGTTTCACAAAAAAGCCTGTGCTTCCGCATTTGGACGCATATCCGGGCATTGCGAGATTCAAGTGCCTGTCGTCAGAATAAAATTGTCTCTTTTGCTCAAATCATTCTAACAACAGTCTAATGTAAAGTCCCGTCATTATATCCAAGCTATCCATGTTCAGGACGCCTCGAGAGCATTGGGAGCGCCGTCCAAATATTTGCCAATATTTGGGGGGGAGGGTCGTCACGTGTGGTTGATCGCGGGCACGATCCGAGATCTGAAGACCTCTTGCCGTCAACCGTAAGCGCACACTTTCTGAACTTTTCACTTTTCCCAGACTCAACCTCATTCATAAACAGCGCTCGTGTGGCCGTCCGACGGAACGTCTTCATTTATTAGGACCTCGTGGTCACTTGTACACACTCCTCCAGTCCACCTCTTTTTTTCGGATTCAAAAGCGGCAACTATTTACATGCAGCCTGCTACTCAGTGTACTAGGCTGCAGCCGTACATAAGTACTGAGGATGGTAAGGTATATAAGTTTGGTTATGAATGAGTTTTTTTTTCCAAAGTAGTAAAGAGGGAGAGAGGAAGTCCATTTTGAGACCGTTCGGGTAAAAGTATGGAGGGACGCAACTTGAGTACTAAAGATCATCAGGTTCCCGAGTGTAGTGTTGGGACGGCTTCATGGTGAAATGGTATGAGACAGTATGGGAGAGATTATACTGCTTCAATGTCGGATAGATAAAAACGTACGTAGTTAATACTCGAGTCCAGCGCTTTTTACAGTATCGTTCCAATGGAGATTTCCATACCGTCTGCGATAAGTTGTCGCAGTCCAGCACGGATATCCAAACAGGGCTCAGGCAGGACCCCATTGAACCTCGTCAGAGTAAAGCAAGCGAGTCGGGCACGTCGAACTGAGAGTGCGCGAAGTAACCTCAGATAAGACTCCTCAGAAAGGTCGTGCCGAATTTGGATTCGCAGTCTCCGAAGATTTGGAAGGAAATGAGATGGGGAGTCCGCAAGTTCAGACAAGATGTCGTCTGTGCAAGAGCCGGACAACTCGAGATTTATGAGGGAAGGTACAAGGCGAAGACATTCATTCAGTTCGGTGAAACTGAGGCTGCACGCGTCGCCTAAGACCAACGTTTGGAGCGGCGGCGAGGAGCGCTCCAAAAATGCTGAAAAGACGGTGTAATGGATTCTGGCGAGCGGAACGAAGAGCGTCTCCAAGCGGGGAAGGTCGAGATATCGAAGAATACCAGCATCGCTGCGCAAAAGATTGATATTTGCTCCGAACTTCAAGCAACGAAGATCACGGAGGATGATGATTTCTCCGTTATAGTGTGGGTCGCAATAAGACATATGGAAGGTGCATTCCACAAGGTTTGGGGCCATACGCAAAAGGCCGCGGGGGAAGCAGTGGAGCCCATTAAAATTGTCCGGCAATCCCTCGACGGTCAGTGTCCGAAGGCAGGGGAACGATCCCAGCTGGGTCACCACGCTGGGGTGGATCATCTCTTCGTCTATTCTGAGGTGTTGAAGCCGTGCCGCATGTTGGGAAAGAGTGGTGGCAACGTCATTGTTCAAGGCTCGATGAATATGAAGGGAGAAGCTGTGACTTCGCTGAAGCCAGAGTCTCAAGATTTCGGTGCCTGGGAAATCCAAATAAATGGCCGACCACAAAGCCGGCGTAGATAGCGCGATGCCAGTCCACGCATTGCACACGCCCAGCAGAAGCATAGGAGCGGTACACGCATCAGGTTTCCTTTGCTGGGGAAGGCAGTGGAGAAAGATCTCCGACGATAGTTCGAAGGGCAAACGCGCCACCGGATCGCGAATGGCGTTGAGTAGGCGCTGAGCAGCGCTCTTGGACTGCACCAGCTCTCGCAGAACCTCATTCTGCAGGTCGATATCAGTCGAGAGTTTGGCAATGCGCGCCTGGAGCTCTTCAGGTAGGCGGCATATCCCATCTGATGTTCGATATTTATGCGGACGGATTTGGCCCCAAAACAGGCCAAATGTCCCATCACTATGCGGACGAAGTCGAGCCAAAAAGACTCTCATCTCCGATCCCAATTGAGAACGGACATGCGTCTTGCGTCGCCATGTCCGATCCATACACGGACGGTCCCTTGAAAAAAATCACCATTTACCCCAGTGTTCACCCTCAAAATCACAAACCACAGAGAAACGAAAGGGGTCCACCCCATGGCCCGATATCCCCTTGAAATCACCCCCAAAATCACCCTTCTCGTGCGCCAATGTCTGATCCAGTATGCGGACGTTTTCAGCCAAAAATCAGGGCGCCCGATCCTTATGCGGACGAATTTCCCCATGAAATGAAAAGACGGAAGGGCCAAAATCCGGCTTTTTTGGATCGAACCTCTCACGGCACATGCCGCCTACCTAGCTCTTCAATGTCGGGCATTGGGATCGTCGTCGCAGGCAGTGTATGGATCGTGTGGAACTGACGCTGAGCGTGAGAGTCGGAAGGAGCAGTGCACTGACTGGCAGTCACGGACACGATAAAGCAGCGACTCGGAGGTCTGTGTCCGAGTCCAACTGGGTGAACGGAGATCAATTGGATTCAGGATTCTGAGCTCAGAGTTACAGTAGGCAGCACGAGTTACTGTGAGAAGAAAAAGTTGCTGCTTGATCGGGATAGGTTGTTAGTGCCATCGCCTCTTGCTTCCCGACACCATGACCGCCAACGCGCCCATTACCAGCAATTCCCTCTTAGCTCAGTTGGTAGAGCGCGTCACTAGTACAGCTATGACGAGGTCAGTCGTTCAAATCGGCTAGCGGGAATTTTTTGCCCGTAGTCTTTTGGCTCGAGATTTTACCAATCTGCCACTGATCGTTCCTGTCCTTTCGAATTCTTTTCCCGTTCACCACCGTGTGCTTGCAGCTTTCCCACATCCAAGTCCTTTGCTCATCTGGGTACCACGACCGGTAACCGGCACATCTCACGCGCCGCACCATCCAGATCTCTGATTTGTCTTGCCTTGGTCCGGATTACTTGGCTGCTGACATCACATGGTCTGTGCGTTGCTGTGGCTGACTAGCTGCTCCCACCTCGAAACAAGAACACTGGGAGTGTGCGCGGTTCTTCTGGGAGCCTAACACAATTATCTACGCCGAACTTCGGTCTTGCTATCCCGGGGATTCTTGACAAACATGTCGTCTACAATCCCTCTGCTCATTGACGGCCAGGAGAAAACGTCAAGCGCGACCTTCCCAATCGAATCTCCCGCTTCTCAGACAACTATTTGGTCTTGCTCGAGCGCGACAATCGCAGACGCTGATGCCGCGGTCACAGCTGCCGCCGCCGCCTTCCTCGTGTGGTCCAAGACGAAGCCTGCAGCGCGCCGCACTATCCTCCTCAAGGCCGCTGACCTTCTCGAGGCGCGCGCAGAGGAACTCAAGCTGACCATGCAGCAGGAGATCGGAGCCCCGGAGGGATTCGCCGACTTCAACGTGGTGACCAGTGCGGAGCTCATACGGGACACGGCGGGGAGGATCAGCGCGATCACGGGCAGTATTCCGGTTTGCCAGGACGAGGGGACGAGTGCGCTGGTGCTCAAGGAGCCGTATGGTGTCGTCCTTGCATTCGCGCCCTGGTAAGTGCCGAATAATGTTTCTCGGCTTGTAATAATGGAGTACAGGAACGCACCCTACATCCTCGGCGTCCGCTCAGTCCTTTATCCCCTCGCCGCAGGCAACACCGTCATCCTCAAGGGCTCGGAAATGTCCCCGCGCTGCTTCCACCACATCGGCGCCATCTTCACCGAGGCGGGCGTCCCCCCGGGTGCCCTGAACATCCTCTACACCCCGCGCGCCGACTCGCCCCTCGTCGCGAACCACCTCATCGCCTCCCCGCAAGTCAAGAAGATCAACTTCACCGGCAGCACCGCCGTCGGGTCCCTCATCGCGGCCGCGGCCGGACGTGCACTCACGCCCTGCGTCCTCGAGCTCGGGGGCAAGGCCGCCGCGATCGTGCTGGACGACGCGGATCTCGAGCTCGCGGCGCGCGAGTGCGCGGTCGGCGCGTTCCTGCACGCGGGACAGATCTGCATGAGCACGGAGCGCATCATCGTGCACGAGGGCGTGCTAGAGGCCTTCCGCAGCGAGCTCCATGCGGCAGTGGAGCGGTTCGCGCCGCGGAGCGGGACGGCGCCGGTGTTGGCGTCCGCGGCGGGCGTGGCGCGGAACAAGGCGCTGGTGGAGGACGCGCTGGGCAAGGGCGCGAAGCTGCTGATGGGGGACGCGGACACGACGCACCCGCTTGTCGTGGAGGGGGTCACACCCGCCATGTCGATCTACCGTGAAGAGTCGTTCGGGCCGTCCGTCAGCCTCATCGCGGTGGCGAGCGAGGAGGAGGCCGTACGCATCGCGAACGACAGCGACTATGGGCTGAACGGGGCGGTGTTCACGCGGGATCTGGCAAGGGGGCTACGGGTCGCGCGGGGGGTCGAGTGCGGGTGAGTGTTCTCCTCTTCTTTGTTGCTTAACGCTCACGCCGCCGCAGCGCGATCCACATCAACGCGATGTCGGTGCACGACGAGTCGGGCCTCCCGCACGGTGGAACCAAGAGCAGCGGATGGGGACGCTTCAATGGCGCGTGGGGGCTCGAGGAGTGGGTGCGCACCAAGACCGTCACATTTCGCGAGTAGGTGGTGCGAGGAGTTTGACATGAGGGGTACCTGGTAGGAGGACGAGATGTAAGTAATGTAAGTGAGCAGGATGTGTACTCTGCGCAGACGAGGGAAGTGGGTCCCGGCGTATCCCTTTTTGGCTGATTCGTTATTTTAATACCTGTATGACGACTCTTGAAAGAAGTTTGAAGGCATTCTTGAGCTAATTATGCATGTAAATACGCGGGCTGCGTGGATACCCAGTGAACGAAGTTCGCGTTTCCGAATCATTCAATGCGATTTTTTTTAGTGACCCGACCGATTTAGCGATGCAGTGATGCGACTCGGATCAAAGAGCTGTTTTTCGCTCTTGACCTCCATCCTATCAGCTGGAAGTCGCAATAACGCGCCAAGACCGACACTGGATCTTGTCAACTCGTCCGGGGGCGCGACCATTCTCGAGAATCCTCGTCGGAGGTTGTTTTGGTTGTACGTCTACCATGGAAAATCCTGACAACTATATCTGCAGGCAACACACTGAGCCTCAGTTGGCCACCGGAACGCTCGACATGTCCGTCAAAGAGATTGAGACGCGGATTGCCAAAATTTCAGCCGACATCGACCTGCAGAAGGAGGTTCTGAGCCTGAGAGAGCTGGAAAAATCTAAGAGCGCTGCTCAGCGCCAGCTCAACGCCATTCGCGATCCGGTGGCGCGTTTGCCCTTCGAGCTATCGTCGGATATCTTCCTCCACTGCCTTCCCCAGCAGCGGAAACCCGATTCCTGTACTGCTCCGATGCTTCTGCTGAGCGTCTGCAACACGTGGACCGATATTGCCCTGTCCACTCCGGCGTTGTGGTCCACCATTCATCTGGATTTTCCGGGGGCCGACATATTGGAAGCGTGGCTTCCGCGCGGGCGGAGCTACCCATTATCCATTCACCTGTATCGAAGCTTGGACCATGGCGTCGCCACCGTCCTTCGCCAATGTGCCACACGGGTCACAGAACTCGAGATACACCAGGAATACCTCGCCGCCAGTGTTGTGGAGAACCTCGGGTCGTTCCCTCGCCTTCAAGCACTGACAGTCGGTTTGCCGGTGGACGAGAATGAGGAGGAAAATTACTTCATGACCAGTATCGGAATCTTGCGCATGGCCCCGAATCTTGTGCAATGCACCCTCCGTCGAGTCGGATTGTCGGACTTATACTCCGGAGGACATTTGGGACAACTTATGCTTCCTAGCCTTCGATGCTTGAAGCTGGGAGACAATATCACTGACCTCTCCACTCTCAACCACGACGATCAGATCCTTGACCGTCTTCTATTGCCCAAGCTGGAGACCCTCTTCCTCCCACTCTACAACGTCGATGCAACTGGCTTTTTACACTTTTTGAAGTGCTCTTCGCCGCCACTGCAAAGGCTGGTCCTCGGCCAAGGATGCTTGTATCTCGAATTCATTGATTTGGACCCATGTCTTCGCCTGATGCCATCCCTGAAAGAGCTCGAGTTAGTCATCCGGAACACGATTTTTTCAGACGATTTCCTCTCCGCACTTGCGGACTCCCCTCCCCACTTCCTCCCGAACCTCCGAAGTTTGCGCATCCAGCACTGCATGCATCGCTCTTCCCAGCCCACCGTCTCATATCAGACTCTGCTTCGCGCACTCTCAGCTCGCCGTCAACTTGGCCGTTTTACTTTACAATATAAAGACCGAGATCCGGACGAGCCTAGTCCAGATATCTATGCTGGGCTGCGACTGCTGGTCGAAGCTGGGACGGAAATCTACATTGGAACGATGACACACAATTTTATCTCGGATTGAACATGGATGATTGCCTGCGGGAGGCCATGTTTGGAACCATTATTAACGAACCGATGAATTGGAATCATTGGCACTCAGACCTTAGAGATGTAGATTACGCAGAAACTTTCGGCAACGTCAATCAACTCGAATGCCATTTGCTGAGTCGCGATGTTAGCAGGTGTTTAGGGAGTGTCAGTTGGGCAGAAACAGACTTTTTGTCACGGCTTTGGCGCCACCCGTCGTTGTGGCGGTCAAGAAATTCCCGCCGGCCCGTGCTCGCTGAGGCCCCATGGATATGTATCTTTTTTTTTCCGGTACTATACAAGGTCTTAGGTGAGGCCTTATTGTCCTTGAGCTAAGCTCTAGCTTCCCAGGAAGCCGATTTCTAAGGCCTTGAGGCCAACGCAACACTGACATCATGCACAGCCGTGCAAGCGTCTGCGAGTGTTGCGAGTGTTGAATATCCGATGTGAGTCAGACATCCTGTGCACTTTCCATGTGCTTCGTAAGATGTTCCCGCCGCATTGTACATGATCTTCGACTATAATTTTGGTTAAGTAGTCGGGATTGAGAATCTGAGAACTCCCACGGTTGGAGATCAAATGAACAGTTCCAACTGTGTGGGCGAACACTTATATAGTCGCTCATACACGCCAGATTTCTTAAAAACAATCCGCCCGTGTACACTGCGCAATGTGATAGTAATGTGCAGTCCAGGCACGCAGTGGCTGTATGGACAAATGCAGCGCAAGACCTTGGCCGTCGAGGAAAGCCCCATCCGTGTTAGCCTCGTCAGAGCTCCAAATCCAAACTCAATTATAAGGAATGGGGGGAAGAAGAAACGCAAGAGCCTCGATCTCGCCTGGACAGATTCTCTCAGAAGGCACTCAGAGTTCCGGGGAGATGTTGGATAAGTGTTAAACAACAAGCGTAGCGGTACCAACAATCAACTGCCTATTCTTGAAAATACTGATTCCTGAAACAAGGAGCGTTCGCTGGTGTAGGCGTATAGGGAGTAGACTGAACAACAAAGATTTAGTAAATACTCACATTATAGTTTAATGCTGGACGCACAGATTGTTGGGATCATATGGAGGCACGCTTCGTGCCCACCAATACGCCGTATTCCTCTTCCTCATTCAAACGCGCCTCGACCGCTGGAGAGATGGGAGCACGCTTCACATCCGCCCAGTCTGGGTTGGGGTAGGAGTCGTCGCCTTCTTTATCCGCGTTACGCTCCACGACCATCCCTACAAGATGTCGAGAGTCAACATGTATGCACTCATTTGAGATCTAATGGTTTATCACCATCGGCCCAGTCGGGGTTGGGGTAGGAGTCGTCCCCTTCTTTATCAGCATTACGCCGGAC